AGAGAAGGGAATCCTCGGGCACTGCTTGTAGGAATGTAAATTCATGAAGCCACTATGGGAAACAGTATTGAGGTTCTTCCAAAAATTAAATATAGAGCTATATAAGATCCAGCAATTACACCTCTGGGTATATACCTGAAGGACATGAAATCACTCTTTCACATATATATATATACATAAAATGCAGCAATAAAAAAAAAGGAAATCCTGCCATTCATGACAATATGGATGGACTTTGAGGGCATTATGCTAAGTGAAATAAGTCAGAGAAGGACAAACACTGTATGATCTCACTTACATGTGGACTCTAAAAAAAAAAAAAAAGCTCATAGATACAGAGAACAGATTGGTAGTTTCCAGAAGCAAGGGGTGGGGTAGGTGAAATGAGTGAAGGTGGTCAAAGGTACAGACTTCCAATTATAAGATGAGTAAGTCCTGGGGATGTAATGTACGGCATCGGGACTAGAGTTAATAATACCATGTTGTCACACTTTCTTCTCAACTGCTCATGGAACATAATCCAGGATAGATCATATCTTGGATCACAAATCAAGCCTTGGTAAATTTAAGAAAATTGAAATCGTATCAACTATCTTTTCTGACCACAATGCTATGAGACTAGATACCAATTACAGGAAAAAATCTGTACAAAAATACAAATACATGGAAGCTACACAATATACTACTTAATAATCAAGAGATCACTGAGGAAATCAAAAAATACCACGAAACAAATGACAATGAAAACAAGACAACCCAAAACCTATGGGATGCAGCAAAAGCAGTTCTAAGAGGGAAGTTTATAGCCATACAATCCTACCTCAAGAAACAAGAAACATCTCAAATAAACAACCTAACCTTACACCTAAAGCAATTAGAGAAAGAAGAACAAAAAAACCCCAAAGTTAGCAGAAGGAAAGAAATTATAAAGATAAGATCAGAAATAAATGGAAAAGAAATGAAGGAAACAATAGCTAAGAGCAATAAAACTAAAAGTGGTTCTTTGAGAAGATAAACAAAACTGATAAACCATTAACCAGACTCATCAAGAAAAAAAGGGAGAAGATTCAAATCAATAGAATCAGAAATGAAAAAGGAGAAGTAACAACTGACACTGCAGAAATACAAAGGATCATGAGGGATTACTACAAGCAACTCTATGCCAATAAAATGGACAACCTGGTGAAATGGACACAGTCTTAGAAGAGCACAACATTTCAAGACTAAACCAAGAAGAAATAGGAAATATAAACAGACCAATCACAAGCACTGAAATTAAAACTGTGATTAAAAAATCTTCCAACAAACAAAAGCCCAGGACGAGATGGCTTCACAGGCAAATTCTATCAAACATTTAGAGAAGAGCTAACACCTATCCTTCTCAAACTCTTCCAAAATATAGCACAGGGAGGAACACTCCCAAACTCATTCTATGAGGCCACCATCACCCTGAAACCAAAACAAGACAAAGATGCCACAAAGAAAGAAAACTACAGGCCAATATCACTGAACATAGATGCAAAAATCTTCAACAAAATACTAGCAAACAAAATCCAACAGCACATTAAAAGGATCATACACCATGATCAAGAGGGGTTTATCCCAGGAATGCAAGGATTCTTCAATATATGCAAACCCATCAATGTGATACACCATATTAACAAATTGAAGGAGAAAAACCATATGATCATCTCAATAGATGCAGAAAAAGCTTTCAACAAAATTCAACACCAATTTATGATAAAAATCCTCCAGAAAGTAGGCAGAGAGGGAAATTACCTCAACATAATAAAGTCCATATATGACAAACCCACAGCCAACATCATTCTTTTTTTTTTTTTTTTTGCGGTACGCAGGCCTCTCCAGTTGCAGAGCACAGGCTCTGAATGCACAGGCTCAGCGGCCATGGATCACAGGCCCAGCCGCTCCGCGGCATGTGGGATCTTCCTGGACCGGGGCACGAACCCGTGTCCCCTGCATCGGCAGGCGGACTCTCAACCACTGCGCCAACAGGGAAGCCCAACATCATTCTTAACGGTGAAAACCTGAAACCATTTCCACTAAGATCAGGAACAAGACAAGGTTGCCCACTCTCACCACTATTATTCAACATAGTTTTGGAAATTTTAGCCACAGCAATCAGAGAAGAAAAAGAAATCAAAGGAATCCAAATCAGAAAAGAAGAAGTAAAGCTGTCACTGTTTGCAGATGACAAGGTACTATACATAGAGAATCCTAAAGATGTTACCAGAAAACTACTAGAGCTAATCAATGAATTTGGTAAAGTACCAGGATAAAAAATTAATGCACAGAAATCTGTTGCACTCCTATACACCAATGATGAAAACCTGAAAGAGAAATTGAGGAAACACTCCCATTTACCACTGCAACAAAAAGAATAAAATACCTTGTAATAAGCCTACCTAAGGAGACAGAAGACCTGTGTGAAGAAAACTATAAGACACTGATGAAAGGAGTTAAAGATGATACAAACAGATGGAGAGATGTACCATGTTCTTGGCTTGGAAGAACTAACATTGTGAAAATGACTATACTACCCAAAGCAATCTACACATTCAATGCAATCCTTATCAAACTACCAATGGAATTTTTCGCAGAACTAGAACAAAAATTTTCACAATTTGTATGGAAACACAAAAGACCCCGAATAGCCAAAGCAATCTTGAGAAAGAAAAACGGAGCTGGAGGAGTCAGGCTCCCAGACTTCAGACTATACTACAAAGCTACAGTAATCAAGACAGTATGGTACTGGCACAAAAACAGAAAGATAGATCAATGGAACAGGATAAAAAGCCCAGAGATAAACCCATGCACATATGGTCATCTTATCTTTGATAAAGGTGGCAAGAATAGACAATGGACAAAAGACAGCCTCTTCAATAAGTGGTGCTGGGAAAACTGGACAGCTACATGTAAAAGAATGAAATTAGAACACTCCCTAACACCATACACAAAAATAAACTCAAAATGGATTAAAGACCTAAATGTAGGGCCAGACACCATCAAACTCTTAGAGGAAAACATAGGCAGAACACTCTATGACATAAATCACAGCAAGATCCTTTTTGACCCACCTCCTGGAGAAATGGAAATAAAAACAAAAATAAACAAACGGGACCTAATGTAACTTAAAAGCTTTTGCACACCGAAGGAAAACATAAACAAGATGAAAAGACAACCCTCAGAATGGGAGAAAATATTTGTAAATGAAGCAACTGACAAAGGACTAATCTCCAAAATTTACAAGCAGCTCATGCAGCTCAATATCAAAAAAACCAACAACCCAATCCAAAAATGGGCAGAAGACCTAAATTGACATTTCTCCAAAGAAGAATCTTATACAGACAGCCAACAAACACATGAAAGAATGCTCAACATCACTAATCATTAGAGAAATGCAAATCAAAACTACAATGACATATCACCTCACACTAGTCAGAATGGTCATCATCAAAAAATCTACAAACAATAAATGCTGGAGAGGGTGTGGAGAAAAGGGAACCCTCTTGCACTGTTGATGGCAATGTAAATTGATACAGCCACTGTGAAGAACAGTATGGTGGTTCCTTAAGAAACTAAAAATAGAACTACCATACAACCCAGAAATCCCACTACTGGGCATATACCTTGAGAAAACGATAATTCAAAAAGAGTCATGTACCACAATGTTCATTGCAGCTCTATTTACAATAGCCAGGACATGGAAGCAACCTAAGCGTCCATCGACAAATGAATGGATAAAGAAGATGTGGCACATATATACAATGGAATATTACTCAGCCATAAAAAGAAACGAAATTGAGTTATTTGTAGTGAGGTGGATGGACCTAGAGTCTGTCATACAGGCTGAAGTAAGTCAGAAATAGAAAAACAATACTGTATGCTAACACATATATATGGAATCTAAAAAAAAAGAAAATGGTTCTGAAGAACCTAGGGACAGGATAGGAATAAAGATGCAGATGTACAGAATGGACTTGAGGAGATGGGGAGTGGTAAGGGTAAGCTGGGATGAAGTGAGAGAGTGGCATGGACTTATATACACTACCAAATGTGAAATAGATAGCTAATGGGAAGCAGCCGCATAGCACAGGGAGATCAGCTCAGTGCTTTGTGTCCACCTAGAGGGGTGGGATAGGGATGGTGGGAGGGAGATGCAAGAGGGAGGAGATATGGGGATATATGTATATGTATAGCTGATTCACTTTGTTATAAAGCAGAAACTAACACACCATTTTAAAGCAATTATACTCCAAAAAAAATGTTTAAAAAAAATACTGTATTGTCTATTTGAAAGTGGCTGTGAGAGTAGATCTTAAAAGTCCTCATCACACACACACACACACACACACACAAATTCACACACTCACACACACACACACAAATTTTAACTGTGTGTGGGGATGGATGTTGACCGTTTCGGTGAATTTTGCCAACGGCCTAAGTGAGCCTGGAAGCGAATTCTTCTCAATAGGATGCCAGGCTGGCTGACACCAAGATTTTGGCCTTACAAGCCAGAGAAACTAGCCATGCCTGCCAAACTTCTGACCCAAGAACTGGGCGATAATTAATGGAGGTTGTTTTAAGCCTCTAAATGTGTGGTGAATTGTTACAGCAGCAACAGAAAGCAAATGCAGTAAGATTTAAGATACACAAGGAAGGAACAGAGGGGCCTTCAGATGCCACCAGGAACCTAATTCCACGTCTGGCATTTGTGTTGCCTCCAGATTTTTAAAACAAGGCCCCATCTATCAGCTCACCCTCCCTTCCTAGGAACGCTGAGAACAGGACTGAAGGAAATGACCGATTCGGGTATTCAATGAGCAGCCCGAGGCAGAGCGAGGTTCATGGCTTGCCTGCCACGGTGTGTCCGGTTAGTGGGAGGACCGAGGTTAGAACTCCAGACTCGTGGCTCCCAGCCCAGGAACGTTTGGAACCACCAGAGGAAGGACATGTTAAAGAGCATACTGTTTACTCACCTTTCTGTAGATGGCAAATATGGTTCCAATGGAGGCCAGGCAGTCGATGTTCGAAGATCCATCCAGTGGGTCAAAGCAGACCACGTATTTCCCCTACATGCACAGAGGGCAGAACACCTGATCAGGTCACCTTCTGAGCAACACACTCTGTGTACGTGGCTGTGTATGTCAGACAACACTACACCAAAAGCGATTCAGAGCAAAGGGATATACTTGTCAAAAAATGCAATTACTTAAGGAGTGCAGAGGGTATCAGCACACATTAACTGTGCAGCTCAGAGCCCGCCTGCCCATAAACAGATGAGTTGACACCCACAGTGGGTGACGGAGGTCCCACCCACCTCCAAATAGCTCTCCGCCCATCCGCCCTGGCTCCGCCCTCCCCGCCTCCCTGGGACCAGTGGGGACTCAGAGCTGCTGAGGGTGTGAGAGGAAACCAGGTCTGAAATGGGCACCTTGCAGGGAAGAGGTGGAGAAGCTGAAGACGACCTTGGACAAGCCCTACCCACGTCCACAGTAAGGTCGGCTACTGATTTACTGATACTTCGGAGCCTCTCCCCAGAGAGGCTTTTTTCATTTTAGCACAATTTTACTGAAAGAAAATCTCAGAACAATGTCCCAGGGCCTCCGGGTCTGTCTTATTAAAATAGCTGGTATGTATGACTACATCAGGAGAATAAAAATACTCCTCTGGGTTTTGCTGCATCCACCCTACCTTGCTGATGTGAAGACCAGAGACAGAGTAGGTGGGGTCTTGAGATACCATGTCCCTCATGCCCACTCACGCTGCTGTTGCCGGCAGCTCGGGGGAAAGAAAACACCAGATACTTTTTACAGGCCTCCTATGTGCAAGGTTCTGTGAGAGCCTTAGTGTTGGGGACTGGGGTGTCCTGGCTAATTAAACACTGGTGATCAAGTATCAAGTAAAATGGGAGTCATTTTTCCCACCACTAAACTCCTTTCCCCTGACTTTCCAATGAGTAATGCCCTAGCTTAATGTGAGCTTTCTTCCTTTCTTTCTTTCCCTTTTTTCCTTTCTTTCTTTCTTTCTTTCTCTTTCTTTCTTTCTTTCTTCCTTTTCTCCTTTCTTTTTTCCTTGTTCAACAGCAGGTGAAGCAGGAAGGGCAGTGGAATTCATAAACTTGGAAATTCCCCATTCTCCCTGTAGATAAGCCAATTCAGCCCATTCATTTCACACATGTATGCATTCAACAGATATTTGTTGAACATCAAGCATATGCTGGAGAAGGTTCACGAGCTGATGTGGGAACAAGCAAGGAGTATTCAAGAACTAGCGTGAAGACCTGTGTAGCTCAGGCCAACGGGGAAAGAAAACGTGAGATTTGATCAGAGAGATAGTCAAGGGTCATATCGGTGGAAGTTGAAAGTTGAAAATAATAGGTGTGACTTAGCCTAATTATGTGAGACAACAAGTATAACGTGCTTTGGCATAGTCCCCACCATACAGCAAGTGTTCAGTAAATTTGGCTTTACTTTACTTTTTCCATCCTTTCAGCTAATCACAAGGAAATGGCACCTTGTCTCCAGGACCCACTGTACAAAACAAAGGCCAACAGTCTTAGCGTTTCTTTGGCATTACTGTACGGCAGCTGAATATGGGTTGAATATTTTGGCCACCAGCTTTTTTTTTTTTTTTAATAAACTGTGAAAACATAGTGAATATAGACCCTCCCCAGTCATGCCCTGCACTAACCAAGTTTGCCATTGCATTAAGGCCAGAGCAACGATCTTTACGAATTCTTTTATGCTTTAGTCTAACAGTTTGTCAGGCATGAAGGAATCTCTGCTGAAACCAAACCCCCTTGGGGAAGGGGCTGGGAGTATAGTGGGGATGAGAAGATTAAGAGACGGTATAGTACCACAGGAACTCTACTTTTTACTGGACTGGATTTTCAAGCGCTCCAAAATGTTGGGACTTGTTACCAGTACAGTAAGTGAAAACCCATGATGAACCCCATCCACTGAGAAGTTACAGTAAAGCACTCTATTTCCTGAATGAATCACTGCCCTATTACAGAGTCTGTTTGACTAGACAGCATAAGGATTCCAACTAAAGAAGCATGTAATCCCTTGCTTGTTTCCAGAAAATAAAAAATTAAGCAATAGAGGAAAATACCAGAAATAAAAAAAAAAAAAAGCAAGGCAACCAGAGTCTTCCCAACTCAGTTTCGCCCTCTACTGGTGAGTAGAGGAACTTCAGCAAGGCTGCCACACTCACCCTCTTCTCCTGGGCGGTGATAAGTGCGTCTTTATTCTCTTCCGAGACCAGGACGCAGGTGCTGTAGGAGGACTGGAGCATGTTGATCACCAGGGAATTGGATAACACGTCCAGTTTCTTCACCTCATCCCCTGTCACGTTCACGCTTCCTGCGATTCCGTACCTAAGAAGACAAAAGATTGGAGGAAATCAGGAAGGGAGCCTGGACGCCAGCAAAGATGCCCAGATGCCAAGATACCTCCCCTGTATCTCTCTTTTCCCTTCATGGCTCCAGAGTCTCCAAATTATAAATATGACCAAGTGAGTCCTGTCTCAGCACTGGTTCTTACTCTTGCTTCCTTTACACCTCAGGGATATTGTCCTAAGTCCCTCGTCGTCCCAGTAAACATTAACCAGAATTCAATCTTACTAACGAGCAACCCTGCCCCCGGCCCTGGGAGAGAGAATTCATGAAGTCAGACACAGCGCCATAATTAATAACTCTAAAAAGTAAAAGACCGTGGCTTTCCAGCCCGGGAATTTCTAGTATTTGTTGATTATCCTCAAATAGTGGCCTGCTGGGCTGAATTAAAATTTGCTCTGCTGTAGCTTGGCATTACTTGAATAAGAAGGAAAGTGGGGGACAGACTTAACTAGTTTAATTTGATTCTTTACCACCATTCCAAGCAATGTAAGAATGAACACTGCTGTAAGAATTCTATCTGGAGGCTTTGTGTTTTAGAGGATTGCTATGCAAAGATCTCCAGGGAATTCCCTGGGGGTCCCGTGGTTAGGACTCAGTGCTTTCACTTCCCCAGGCCCGGGTCTGATCCCTGGTTGGGGAACTAAGATCCTGAAAGATGCGTGGCTCGGCTAAAAAAAAAAAAAAAAAGTCTCCAGCTCCCACCCTCGTGGGTGGGATCCTTCTAAAATCAGTCAGATCACCCCTGTCTCTCCCAGAGTCTCCAGGTCCTCCACAGTGGGTTTCAGGCCGCACCAAGGAAGGCCTGGTCCCACACTGGCCTTGCCTCTTGGCCCTCTCACCCTCAGTCTCAGCCTCTGGAACCCAACGGGCACACACCTGCCTTACACAGACCCCTGGGTTCCCTGTCCCCCACCCCCCATGCTCTTCTCTCCGTGAGCCACATGGCTACCACCCACCTCAAGTCCTTCTCATGCCAACAGCCACCAAGGTCCTGAGGCCACCAGCACCCAGCAAGCTGCTTCTCTCCTCTCCCCCTTCACTCATGGTATACCCCCCATGGGAGTGCTTTCTGCCCACAGACAGCTTTCTTCTACTTGCCCTCCTAACTTCTTCCAGAAGCTTCCCTGGTGCCACACACACCAGATACAGCCTTGTCAGCCCTTCCAGAGCAGTTCACAATCTGTTTGTGGGAATGTCCTTCCTCCTGGATTATCTGCTCACCGAAGGCAAGAGCTGTGACTCACTGTACTTGTTTCCACAGTGCTCAGACGCTCAATATATGTTCACTGAATTATGAAGAATGGATGGCAGAAAAGTAATTCCCCCCCTCTCCTTTTTGTTAACGCCATTTATTTGTTGAAGCAATCCTCAGGCTGCTCTAACAGGTAGCCAGGGTTGAGACGCACTGATTCACCCTAAGCCGGGGTCGGGGACAGCTCATTTCCCAACCTTTTCCCTGATTGACAGCCTCTCCCCTCCCCCACAGATCCCCCCATCACTTGATGTCTGATGTGATGAGATCTGCTTTGAAAAACAATACTGGTGGCCTCATCTCAAAGACTGTACCTTCTGGTTCAAAATAAAAGCAAACAAACACACAACAGCAACCACAAAACTGGGTTAAGTTGCATCAGAATTTAAAGGGTCCACAAACCCAATCCTGTTGTTTAACTGGAATCTTGATACGGCTTCTACCGGAGAACGAAGAGCTGGGGTGCCCGAGGCCTGTGGGTGTTGGAGAAACAGGCTCTGTGTCCTGTGCTTTGCAAACACTTCCTCCACCGCCACACAAACCCCGCCCCTCAACCCACCCTCTGCACCCTCCCTGCAGGTGCGGGGCATTCTTCTCTGCCTACCCCCTCCCACCATCCACACCCCTCCTTTCAGAAAGAATGGAAGATCGTCACAATGAGATCTAGTCACCTGACAACTGCTCCAAGTTAGATCATGGGCAGAAAAGTGCTTTTTAACCCGTAAGACTATTTTTTAGACCTTAACTAACATTTAAGCTTTACTGATAATTTTTTAATGGATTGTTCTGCTGTTTTGACATTAGAAAGCCGTGGAGAGGATTCCAGGGGTGGTATTCTAGCATTCCCTTCTTCCTACAGCAAGGAGCAGAGAAAAAAGAAGAAAAATATGAGACTTTCTGATCCGTTTTGCATTTATTGAGCAGGTGCCTAGAAATGTCCTCCCAAAAAGAGGAAGCAAAGGAATGAGGGGCTTGAGGCCCCCTAAATGGGAAAGTGGCAAGAATATGTTAAAGTCCCATTTTCATGAGCAGAATTGCTCTGGGATAGGGGGTTCCCTGTCCCCCACCCCCCATGCTCTTTAGCTCTTTGAGAAGCAATTCCAGGATCCTCTTAAAATTATCTCAGCATCTTATTAGAAAGAAGGAATTTCCAGCCAATGGACTTCTCCCACTGACACCTTGGGTATCTATTACAGAGGCACCCAGGCAAGGATGCCGCCTGAATTGGCAAAATACGTGGTCTCTGCCTTACGGAGGACATCTGCCTCAGCCTCCGAGAAAATGCGAAATCCTGACGTCTTGTTTCCACGGGCTCCGTCTGCCACCTAGTGGTGGCTCAGCGACATCGCCCTGTTAGCCGGCAAATTTCCGCAGGTTCGGGCTTGGAACCACAGTAATAAGGAGCATTGACTACGGGGCTGGCACTGTCGAAATCATCATCACATGCACCTACGAAGCTTTACAACTAGCCCTACGAGTTAGGTGCTATTAGTATCCAATCCGTTTTACAATTTTACAGGCCCTAGCGAGAGTAGATCATTGACCATGATCACATGGCACAAAAAACCAAGTCAGAGGAGCACCTGAATTATCCAGTCGCTGAGTCCACGTCCGCTGGACACTCCATGGCCACAAAGTCAGAGTTCTGCAGCGATTAGCACAACCCCACCACACCAGCCCCTGCCCAGCCCAGCCCCCCTGCACTGGGGAGCCCATTAACATGGGTAACACTGAGAGGTCAGCAGGCAATCCAGGAAACTGCTCTATGCGTAGCCCAGCTCACCACCAGATAGGAGCAGAACAGAGGCAAGTAGCTGTGTCTCACGTTCATGAAGGTTTTTAAAGGTAGAGCTGGCCATTATTGCCAAATGAGGTACTCGTACAGTTATAGCAATACACAGAGAGGGGGAAAACCAGTCACAATCACCTTTAACTTGGAGCTCATTACTGAGTCACCAAGCATTATATAAATAAACTCTGTGATTATCACTTTTTTTTTTCCCCCTGCGGTACGCGGGCCTCTCACTGTTGTGGCCTTTCCCGTTGCAGAGCTCAGGCTCCTGACGCACAGGCTCAGCAGCCATGGCTCACGGGCCCAGCCGCTCCGCGGCATGTGGGACCTTCCCGGACCGGGGCACGAACCCGTGTCCCCTGAATCGGCAGGCGGACTCTCAACCACTGCGCCACCAGGGAAGCCCCAATTATCACATTTTTTTGTGTTAAAAGTACTAAGTTGTTAGAATAAATATTTCAAATTATTAGACTTTGCTATTTCTTCATTTTGGAATAATAATAATAATAACAACAATTGGTGTGTTCATCTTCTGAGAGGACCTCCACTGCAATTGCTACCAGGAAAATGGAAGCCCAAAGAAAGACTGCTTCTTTTCACCACAGACTTAAACTGGACCCTTGGCTGTGAGGACTGGCAGCTGTAGCATGAACTTGGGTAAAGCACCAAGGGGGCAAAGTGGAAGAACGCTCTGCATTCCCTCCTCCCGGGCCCAGCACCTCCCAGCTTCCTGCACACCAAGTGGAGAGAAGATTGAGTCACAGAGAAGAAATAAAATATTGTTTTAAAAGCAAAAGACTCTTTGATGGTGAGAAAGGAGATGGACGACGGGCCCTGGGATTCAGTAAATGATTTCTACCTCCTAATGACTATGATGGGCAAAGGTCATGGTAATAAAACACTCATATCTGCAAAGGGCGTCAAGCGTCCTCTCAAGTCTCCTGGCGGTTGCTTTGTGCCAGTGAGAATGCAAGCACAAGTCACGATAACTCAGGATATGTTTCAATGGAACAAGCCCCTGAGCTTGTTATCATTATAATACATGGTAACTGGGAAAATTATATATTTTTTCTCCATAGCATGTCTCCAAGTATTTTGTTTCTTTCTTGAAACAAGTCAAAGGACCCTTTATCAAAGGACACCTGGCAGAAACTTTAAAGGCAACTTCCCTCCAGGGCGCACGGGCTAATACTTCTGAGCCCGTTTTGGCCCAAGCACCTACAGCTCTGCCCACCCGCACCTGGGCCCCACCCCACCCCACCCCACCCCGTTGCTGCGTGTCGCCAGGGGGTAGACTCACAGATGGGCCAGGCCAGCCTTGCGCACGGCCGAGGAGATGGCTTTGATGGCCGTCAGCATGGAGTTCAGCAGCTGTGTGAGCTCCCCGGTGCCTTTGGCCTGACGCCCCTTTTCCATAACGTAGCGGGTCAGGGTGAGCATGTCCGTTTCGAAGGGGCTTCTGTCCCCCATTGCGGCAGGTAGTTTTTCAAATCCTTTTCTCCCTGCAGAAGAAAGTCTTACCTCTAAGGGCTGGTCAGTGGCTCTGCGGTATCAGAGCTGATTAGAAATCTGTACTGGATATGCCAGGACCTTTAAGGGAAAGTGCCCCAGGCCACGTGGTTGAGATAACTGGGCGAGTCCTCAAGGAAACCTCTCGGCCTGGCTGATCTGAAGGCTGCCAAGCTGTAAATAGAACCGGGCAGCTGGGAAACACAGACCTACTTTTTCTTGACGAAACTTCTTTAAAGATCCTAAGAAGCAACCGTTTAGTAAAGGTAAGAGATGAGAATTCCAGCCCCCCCCCCCAAAAAAAAAAATGATCCATAAAACCCTCTTATTCAAAGACTCAAAAGGTTTCTTCACATGTATCTACCGCAGGGCCCCATTCCCTCACATTGCAGGAGGCAGATTGGCAGATATCTTATCTGGGGTATAGGTCACATAACAAAATGATGGCAATCCTGGGACTTCTTAGCCAGGGTTCTTTCATATGTTTGAAAAGGATGCTTTTAAATTCCAAAAAGCATGTATGATTGGATGGATATTTATAATAGGTATTCAAATCTGGAAGAAAAAAATATGCCTAGTGCCTAGCACTAGGGTTATTTTATCAATTCTTTATTTTTTCAATTTCTCTAGATTTGCATTTTTATAGCAAAAATGATGCTTGCTTATTGAAAAGGAAACACTACAGAGCCAGCCCACCCTCCAACCCACTGCCAGAAATAACTGCATTAGAGGTGGTGGGGGTCTGTATTTGTAAACAGGGGAGGAGGTCTGCATAGGGTGGTCCAAGCACTTTCTCTAGGGGCAGAGACACCTGGCTCTGAGTCCCAGGCTAGTCATCTGCTAGTTGTACAGTTTGGAAAAGCTCCTGAAGCCTCAGTTTCCTCACTTGTAAATGGTGATAACAATAAAACATCTACCTGACAGAGTGGTTGTGAGGATTAAAGTGATAAGATGTGCCTGTCATAGTAGGTGCTCAATACTTGCTAGTTGTTATTACCCTTCCAATTTGTTGATGTATGTTAACTATCATGTATAGATACACAATTTCATTTTACAAAATAGGACAATATGCACATTGCTGTGCAAGTTGATTATTTTCCTTTGACAGTTACTTCAATCAGAATGTGTTTAGTTGCAAGTAATAGCAAACGTGGAGTGATTTAAATATGTGGGGTTCATTAGTCTCATATTTTCTCCGAGGCAGCAGCTGGCATTCATTTAGCTGGTCAAAAGTTCCATTAGGAACCCCTCTCTGTCTCTTCTCCGTAATCCTCGGTCGGCTGGCTTTTGCCTCCAAGCTTATCATCTCATGGGCACAAAACGGCCACTACAGCTCTGAACATCTGAAGACCGAAAGAGGGGAGAAGGGCAACCACATCCGCTCCCTTTTATTAGGAAAGAAATAGTTCCCCAGAAACACCCTCTACCTACCCCGCACCCCCACCCCAAGTAGCCTTCCACTTTTGAAGCATTGGCCAGATTTACGGCATATGACGATGCTTTACTGCGAGAGTCGGGCTGATATTGAATCAACCAATCAGAAGTGTCTTCCACAGCAAAACATCTGGGAAATACATCCGTGTCGACACACAGAGACATACTGCTTTCCCACGTGTGGACAGTCAGATATTTTTGAAATATTTGCTCCTCAAACAATGCTGCACCAAGATCCTTACCTTTGTGTATGTGCTTGTGTGAGGGCTTCAGTAAGATACAGCCCTAGAAGAGGAGCTTCTATGTCAGAACACTTTAATTTTGACATCACCAGGGTCTAAATTGGAAAACTTTCTTTTTCTTCCCTAAGAGCTTCTGGAAATTGTGAGGACTGTAGAATGGAACTTTCTTTGATCCTGATGTTTCATGTTGCCATCAATAAATAACTCAGTTTTGTCTTCCACATGGGAGATCAACCATGATTCTTCAGACATAATTATAGAAAGAGTAGCGGCTGGATATTAGGAGTTCTGGGCCAGTAAATGGCTACAAGATAAAGAGAGTGGCCTGGCTGATTGGTTTCCAGATTTCCTTTGAAGTCGAATGTCATCTGATTAAGAGGGTTTCCCCTCTTTGTGGTGGTACAAAATGATGCCACTCAGAGTGGACTGTCACATCTTCCCTAGAGAAATGAATTGTATGTTCACACCAAAACCCATTCGTGAATATTTATAGCAGCTCTATTTAAAATTGTCAGGAACTGCTAACACGCAAATGCTCTTCAATAGTGGTAAAGAAACTGTGGTAGATCCATAAAATAGAACACTATTCAGCAATAAAAAGAAACAAGCTATTGTTACATGTGGCACTGGGACTAATCTCAAAGGCATTATGCTGGGTGAAAGAAGCCAGTCTTAAAGGACTATATGCTGTATGACTCCCTTTATATGATATTCTCAAAAAAGACAAAATTTGAGAGTTAGAGACCAACTTCATGGTTGCCAGGGATAGTTGGTGTGGGGCAGGGAGGACAGGATGGGGAATTTTTTGCCTGATGGAACTGTTCTGTATCCTGATTATGGTGATGGCAACTTGAACCCATACATGTGTTAAAATTCAGAGAACTGTACATTTTTAAAAAGTCTTTTTACTGTAAAGTGAAACTCTGTGCCTATTAAACAATAACTTTCTCTTCCCCCTCAATCCTTAGTCCCTGACAACCTGCAGTTCTACTTTCTATTTCTATGAATTTGACGATTCTAGGTACTTCATATAAGTGGAATCATACAATATTTCTCCTTTTGTGGCTGGCTTATTTCACTTAGCAGCATATTTTCAAGGTGCATCCATGTTGTAGCATGTGTCTGAATTTCCTTCCTTTTTAAGACTGAATAATATTCCATTGGTGGATATACCACATTTTGTTTATCCATTAATCCATCGACGGACACTTTGGTTGTTTCCACCTTTTGGCTACTGTGAATAATGCTATCATGTCCACAGTAGGACAAATACATGTTCAAGTCCCTGCTTTCAGTTTTTTGGGGGTATATACATACACAGAAGTAGAATTGCTGGATCATATGGTAATCCTATGTTTAACTTCTTGAGGAATCACTGTACCATTTTCCACAGCGGCTGCACCATTTTACATTCCCACCAGCAGTGCACAAGGGTTCCAATGTCTCAACATCCTTGCCAACAGTTGTTATTTTCTGTTTTTTTGTTTTTGTTTTTTTGTTTTTTTTATAAGTAGCATCCTAATGGGTATGAAATGGTATCTCATTGTGTCCTTTTTTTTTTTTTTTCCCCCTGCGGTACACGGGCCTCTCACTGTTGTGGCCTCTCCAGTTGAGGAGCACAGGCTCCGGACGCGCAGGCTCAGCAGCCACGGCTCACGGGCCCAGCCGCTCCGTGGCATGTGGGATCTTCCCGGACCGGGGCACGAACCCGTGTCCCCTGCATCGGCAGGCAGACTCTCAACCACTGCGCCACCAGGGAAGCCCTCATTGTGGCTTTGATTGGCATTTCCCTAATGATTGGTGATGTTGAGCATCTTTTCATGTGTTTATTAGCCTTTCTAGTTAATTTTTATTATGTATTTGTTCACAAGAGATTGGAAGTAAACAAACAAACTAGTGCTTCAGCACAACTGTCTGGAGAATCCCTGGTGCCCAGCACACTATGGGTGTTAAGAATGAACAAGACTAGATCATTTGGGAGTCAGAAGGGAGAGTATTGGCTGGTGTCCTTTATAAGCAATCAACCACTCATCCATAAAGGGATCTGAGGAAGGGGCTGCTACTTCTGTCACCATCTAGCGCAGGCTGACAGCCAGTACAGCAATCCCACCACTTTGCAGCTGCATTTAAATGTCAGAAGTTTGTTACCCAATGGTCTAAAATTGCAGCTGATGACCTTTCAGCAAATGCCAAAGTTCTTTCAGGGCACAGGACAGGGTGGAAATTGAAAGAGCAGCTGTGGCGAAAGCCCAGAGGGAGGTAGAAGAGCATCCAGCTCACACTTATTTCAGTGCCAAGGATACACTGGTGACCACAAAGCTATCTATGGCTTTGCACTGCTTAGTGAAAGATGCTCACAGGACTGAGTCTAGGTAAATAAGGTCAAGCAGACAGTCCTAATGGCTGGGCCAATCTTGCTGCTGCCTCAGGGCCCTCCACCCAAAGACAAGGATCTGGAACGTGCCTCTAGAATATCAGCTGAGGGACCATTCTTTGTTAGCAAAACTTTGCTAAGATGCTTTATGTAATCCCAACATAGGTTTTTTGCGTTTTGTTTTGTTTTTAATATTTATTTGGCTTCACCTGGCCTTAGTTGCAGCATGCGAGATCTAGTTCCCTGAGCAGGAATTGAACCCAGGCCTCCTGCATTGGAAGTGTGGAGTCTTTAACCATTGGACCACCAGGGAAGTACCCAACATAGATTTTTGTTTTACTTTGTTTTTGAAGTTTTCAATCAGAAAAGGTTTTATTATAAGAAGTAATGCTGGCTTTCCCTGTTGGCACAGTGGTTAAGAATCCACCTGCCAATGTAGGGGACATCGGTTCGAGCCCTGGTCCGGGAAGATCCCACATGCCGTGGAGCAACTAAGCTCGTGCATTACAGCTACTGAGCCTGTGCTCTAGAGCCCGCGAGCCACAACTACTGAGCCTGTGTGCCAAAACTACTGAGTCCGTGTGCCACAACTGTTGAAGCCTGCACACCTAGAGCCCGTGCTCCACAAGAGAAGCCACCACAGTAAGAAGCCCGCACACTGCAACGAAGAGTAGCCCCCGCTCGCCTCAACTAGAGAAAGCCAGCGGGCAGCGACGAAGACCTAACGCAGCCAAAAATATAAATAAATAAATAAATAAATAAATATATAAATTTGAAAACAAAAAGCAAAAAAAAGGAAATAATGCCATCAGGTAAAAATGCAAAAAAATTTACAATTATGGCAAAATGTTTCAAAATACCTACACACTTGCTCCCATAGGACTACGGTACTTACTACATACTTGAGCACT